TGCATATTCTTAAAAAACATGTGCATATGCACATGAATATTTAAAAAAAACACTTTTAATGCCTATATATATATATATATATATATATATATATATATATATATATATAAGAGTAAGCATATACATATCCATATAAATATGAATAAATATATGCATATACATATGCATATGCATATACATATGCATATACATAAGCATAATAATAAGTATATGCATATGGAAATTTTTTACATATGATTATGCTTATGCATATGCATACACATATGCATATGCATATGTATATGCATATGCATATGCATAAAAATAAGTACAAACATAAAACAATTAAATACATATGATTATGCTTATGTATATACATATGCATAAGAATAAGTATATGACATATGAATATTCATAAGTATATGTATATGCATATTCATAAGTATATGTATATACACATGAATAAGTATATTCATAAGGCTATTAAATACATATGTTTATGTTTATGTATATGAATAATTATATACATATGCATATGCATAAGAATAACTATATGCATATGCATATGAATAACCATATGAATATGTGTAACATCCCGAAATATGGATGTTTAGAAGGTGAGAAAGAAAACGACATAAGTTGGAAATTGACAAATAACAATAAAGGGAAAAATGGTCAAAGAGGGTAAATTGGTTATTTTACATAACCAACAAGGGATATAATAGTAAATATGTCACCATTTGACGAGTTATATGAGTTATATATGCTTATGGTGTAAGAGATTAAGTTCAAGAGTAAAAGTGGAAAAGAATATGAAATTTGTAATTCCATGTAAAAGTGATAAAATGCTAACTTTGTGACCATAAAAGTCAACCTTAGAGGAAAGGAAAAGAAAAAGGTTACAAAGGTAACTTGTATTAGACTTGAAAATGAAGCAATAACAAAAAGAATAAGCTTAAAACGAGTTCATATGAAAAATCTACTAGGTTGCAAAGTTGGACAAAAATTAATTCAAAGTTGATTTGGGAATTTGATAGTTGCAACGTGTCAACTTTGGAGCTTAATAAGTCGATATTCATAGCTAAATATAAACAACATTATAAAAGCAAACGTGTACTCTATAAAACGAATAGTACACAGGAAAAAGAATCAGCCAAAATGGATATGTAATCAATGAGATATGGTCGTGCGAAGTTGGTTGTTCAAACACTTGAAATGTTGTAATATTCCGACTTGCCATGTTCACAACTGAATAACTCCCGTTCTAGACATATTTAGACGAAACAAATAATATGGAACTTGTAGTACTCCTAACAATCTTTCTAATGATATAAAGATTGCTACTATCATGTTGACATTAGTAAATAATAAATTTGTCACTATCATGTCGACATTAGTAAATAAGAAAGATGAAAATGATTAAATTAAATGAGAATTTCTTTTTCTTCTGGAAATACCTATCAAGATAATATAGTGAAAGCCCTTTTTGCCAAAGATATATTCATACAATACCAATGATCAATACTTTTAAATAACATGAGTTTCTTGCTTTCTTTATCATCATTAATTGATTAAGAAATAAGATGCAATTTCCATTTAAACCCCAAATTAGGTTTCATCATTGGCATATAAATATTTCAAGAATGAATAAAATCCTACATTTATATCTCGGTGCATTGGATATTAAAGTAATTCAAGTGTCAGAAGCTTTTGAAAGTTCATGCAGAAAAGCATTTCATCAAACAGGTTGTAGGCAAACATAGTTCAAGTATCAGAAGCTTGGAATTTCACTCAAAAAGTTATGCCAATTAATCAGAACAACCAGAAAGAGTATGCAAGAAGTCTTTATTACCTCCTGCAATACCCTTTAATTTTGGAAGTCGACAATAAAGACGAATATGAACTCCCTCAAAACCGCTTTTTGGTGGGTAGATTGTAGCAGAAACAAATTCTACAGTGTAGCTTGATATAGGAATCTTCATGAGGATTCTTGTATGTAGTAATTTGCTATTCTTTTGCTTCAATAGTTAAGAAGCTAAACTTAAGACTTCCGTTGTTGTTGCATTGTGTTTTATTGAACTTTTCTTTCAAGTAAACATATGCATTACATTGATGCATATGTTTCTTTCACGTGGTTTCTTAATGATTACCTATAGTCACAAATTGAATGAGATAACCACCCGATTAAAGCCCATAAAATAGAAACACAATTTTACAATTATCTCAATGATATCTCAAATTATGTCACTTTATACGCACATCGAATCAATCAAGTTGAAATTTGAGAAATTCACTTGTAAGGAGATCAGGCGCATGTAGATTCACTTGTGGTGGACTTGATTGAGCAATAGGAACGATGATTCCGTATTTTTGCTGCAGAGTTATGTGCTTCTATTGTTGATCGATTCCGGCTAAGTGCATCAAAATGTGTTGTTAATGGGTTCGTTGGTTTGCTCTCATTATTTGAGTTCGCTCTGGAACTTGTTTCATATATCACTACTAGAAAAATACCCTTTAATGACACACATTGCGTGTCATAAAAGCGTACAGATGACACGCAAATGCGTGTCAAGAAAGGCCATGTCATAAAGGAAGACGAAACGCATTTGCGTGTCGTAACCTTACGACGCGCATTTACGACACGCATTTACGACACACAATGCGTATCATTAAATCCTCTGTCAAGGAAGGCCATGTCATAAATGAAGATGACACACATTTTTGCTTATCGTAATTTTAAATGTTTAAAAAAATATTATTTATAGATTTACTAATTTTCAAATTAAATTTGCATTTAATGTCTCATAAAAGAAAATAAAATATCATATACAAAAATACAATCCATTGCACAAAATTTAATGTCATACAAATAATCGTTCCAATAGTAGGCAAATGTAATACATCAAATGTGAGAGATGAAATTCATCAACAAATAATAGTTGAGCTACAAGAGCTTGTTGACCACCTTCACATCATCCCGACTTCTTTGATTGACACTATGCACATCAATAAAACCTGCAAGTTTGAATCATGCAACCATTAGATTCACTTAAAAGGAGGACACTTGTTTGAGACTTACTTTTATCAAAATCATATAGAGTAAATTCAAGATTCTTGTCCCAGAATTATTAGCATGTTTATCATGAACTTAAATCTATCGGATGAGATAAGCATCATACAACATTTTCAAAATTTATATATAACAATTCAATGCAAGATGGGCTTAGCTTTATAAATAAAAATGGTTTTACATATCTCTACATATACCCTACTAATACTACTACTACCCTTCCCTGCTATGTAGAGAATAAGTTTTGGAAACAATAAACTAATTGTAAGTGGGAAGACCGGATGCATTTACACAACAAAGTTCATAACATAATCTGGTGACTATGTGTCTTATGTTGTATGAAATATAAAGGAGAAAAAAGGAAATTTGCCTCACCACAATTAATGGATGGACATATTTCCTCAAAATACTCGAGCAAAATATTTCTTCTGCAAGTTGTCTGCATGCAATATTGTTGAGTAGCCATAAACGAATCCATAATAGCTTTTTTCTGGGTTTCTGTTAGAAACAAGGTGAATTTTATTAACATAATCCATGAAGAAAATAATAATAATAAATGATTTTGTTGAGAAAGTTAAACATACTGAGCTTGCTTCTCCACAGTAGAAATCAGTTTTTCCAAAGTCACCTCTTGAAAAGTATAGCCAACAATCACAAGCAATCCCATCTCTACCACATCTTCCACTTTCTTGATAATAGGACTCCAAACTCGTAGGGCACCCATAGTGGATCACATGTCTTATTTATGGCTTATCAATACCCATTCCAAATGCGATAATTGCAACCATTACCCGAAGTTCATCCCTTATAAAAGATCTAGCAACAAAAGGGTACAAAAAAAGACATGAATATTAAGCTAGATATGACTATTTTTAAATGATCAATCAAGTTACAGAAAACTGGAAACCTGTGTGATTCTTCATGGGCCTTGTGCCCCATTTGGCCATGATACATTCCAACCAGGGGCGGAACACAAACATTACAAGTGATGGGGCCGATACAATATAAACAAGTTTAACTTGGTTTCGAAGTTATGATTTATAAAAAAAATTAGACCGCTTAAAACCTTAATAAGTCTCAAACGGCCAAGTTTCACTATCACCATTATAATTTGATATTGGTGAATTATTATTTCTTTATATTACTAGTTATTTAAGAGGCAGAACTATTAAATATCAATCCTTGTCATGATCTAATCTATAATGCTAAAAAAATTTAAGTAAAAAGGTATAACTTTATGAGAAATAAATTACGTTTACAATGGCTTTATGTGACTTATAGATTTTAGAAACTATCTGTTACAAAATCCTCTTATTACTCGTTCACATAACTACTATCTAACTATGCAAGTTCTATATCCCAAAACAACCAAAAAATAATTAAATAGCAAATGATAAATCACAACATAATGAAGTGACAGAACACTACTACTATCAATTGAGATTTTGGAAACACAAAGCACAGTAAAGTAAAAGCAAGAGAGTACACTGTAGCTTCTGCATATTTGACAATTAAATAATAATAATAAAATACCTTTTTAAAGAAAATTCAGTGAAGTTAAAAACCTAAATTTATTAAAAGAGTCAAGATTCAAATTAGAGGGCAAGAATGGAAGTGAGAGCGTGAAAGACTAACAGGGAGAGAGGCGAAGATCGGAGAGGCCGTCCAGGCAAAGAGTAGAGCCTTGAGATGGTATCGGACTGCTACTCACATCGGCACGACGAGAGGTTGACACTATAGAGAAAACGACTGTCGAATGATGATGCTAATGTACGATCTGGTAGGCATGGCCAACAGATTTTGAGGGGATTTTAAAACGTGAAATAAGTTTTTTTGGTTTTGGCATTTGAAATATTTTGAATCTTGTTTCGTTTTTGTTTAATACGGAGTAGTTTTTAAATATTTTCAAATTAGTTATCTTTTTCAACAGTGTCCCGTGATTTCATGAGAGGTGGTATTTTCTTTCCTTAATTTTCTAAACTCTTTTACAACACAATAATATCTCATTTTCATTCCTTAATTTTCTAGAGATCATATCTCATTTTGAGACACGTTCAACACATATTAGGCTCTAATACATAATATTTAGTAGCTAGTAGTCCAAAAAGCTGGGGGGGCATGGCCCCCCTAGGCCCCTTAAGGGTTCCGCCCCTGATTCCAACATTGACTCCAGCCTCACAAAGTGATCTAGCAATCTAAGGAATCCAAACATATGGAACAGAAAGAACAATTAAAATGGCTTCTAAACAATAAAGATTTAAAGCAAGTCGATAGCAGAGGGTTAAAAGTATATGAAAGATGACTTCTTGAACATCTTTAATGGTTGTACAATATACGATAGTTGATCCATCATTTGATACATGTTTAGAGACTTGTTCCATAAGCTCATCAACAAATGAGGCCCCACGGTTGATATATTTCACACCATAGTAAATGTTTTTTCTATCAAATGATCCAATGGCATCATGAGGGTCTTTCATCATAAGTGAACCAACTATGTCATTTTGAACCCTGGAATCAGAAGAGAGTAACCATCAAGGTGTAAGATAGATTTAGGGCTTCATACGTATCTATATGTAGAAGAACTAGCATAGAATTATAACAAAACAAAGCAAGTTAAAGACCAAAAGACAAATCAATTTGCAACACGTACTTTTCTGTAGTTGTTGCTGTCAATCCAACAAATGGAACACCTACCAAAACATCTCGCAGCTTGTATAATTGTTTATATTCCACCCTGTAAAACATATCATTATTTAGAAATTCTAATAGGAGGCATAAAAACAAGAATAACACTTCTATTAACAGATAAATACACACACACACATGAATGTATGATAATTATCTAAGATTAAGTAATATATAGAAACCAACAGAAAATCATGGCCCCACTCTGAGATACAGTGGGCTTCATCAACCGCCACTAGACATATTCCTGTGCTAAGCAACCTTGACCAGAAGCTGCATTAGGGTAAAAACAGCTCAAATCATGATATCACTTATTTTCATAAGGTAAAGTACAGAAATTTATAAGCAACACAGAAAGTAAAAGTATATGATATATCCTGCTCTTATTAAAATACCTACTTGTGACATTCCATCATGCCCTAAGCCAAGCGTAGCTGTACTTATCTTGTCCTCACTTCCACCACCCAATTCACTAGTAATTGGTAAAAGTAATGGAGGTTGGTGATCAGGCCTACAGGATCTAAGGAACTTTGCCCTTCCACACTCACACTGTACATGGAAAAAAATATTCTATCACTTTCATTATTTCATATACAAACACCTTATATATATATATATATATATATATATATATATATATATATATATATATATATATATGAGAAAAGGGTGTAAGAAACAAACACCTTATGTATTTATTTATAGTTGTTAAAAAGTAAAAGCTGGTAGCAACATACCTTACAGTTCTATAAGTATCTTTAACAGTCTCAACCAAGTAACATGTGCATCAAATTGCATAATTGGATTAAGAACTTCCTCTCATAGTAAGGACCAAATGCAAGAAAGAGCAACGTACTTTCACTTATTTTTGTATTATAACATCCTATTTTTTATTCATGTCTTATATAATAATTCTATTTCTTCAAGGTATATGGTTGTGGGAATGTTTGATGTAGAGAAAATCTTACCTTCCCCTGATGGTGATTTCTCTACTTCCTTCCATAGCTTACGTCCAACAAGATACAGATGAACCTGATGAAATTAAAAGTTTGGGGAAAAGAAAAAAATAAAGATAAAAGACATAAAAATTTGATTCAAGTTAATTATGTTCCATTAAAAAGATGCTAATAACCTAATACTGAATTCTTGAAGATCGATACCTTGGTAGAAGAGTGATTAGAAGATCTGACAACCTGAAGAGTGAAGAGTGAAGTCAGAATTCAGGGTTTCTTTGGTTACTCCCTTCACATCCTCGAAAATCTGCATCTGGTTGACTAGGGGTGGTCGATTAGGGGTGGTCGAACTGGTAGCTCTGATTGACGAAGAGATTTCATTCATCATAGCGTGGTGGAGGAGTAGTAGTTTCCAACCGACACTGCAATCGAGGGGAGTTGCAATCGCCGATCGACTCAGCGTGAGGACCGACGTGGCAGAAATTAGACTCCAACATGGGAATAATGGAGAAAAAAACATAGAGCGTGAAGAGTGAAGAGTGAATTCGGACTTATGAGCAGTTGTACCAGGTTTTAGGGGAGAAATCGAACCACTTGGTTTTCTTCACTTCCATTACTGGTTGAATTTTCTTGATGAAGTTGTTGCAGATGAACATGAGATGACGAGGAGTAGATACAGGGAAAGGGTGGGGTTTTGGGAGATTTACTGTGAAACAGGTAAAATTTAGGTCAAAATTAAATTTATCAATAATCGTAATTGGGATGAAATAAATGGCAGAAACTGAAAGAAGGTTTCAAAAAATATAAAGAACACTGAAATCCGAGTTATAACGAAGAAGTTATGACCAATCGAAGATCCGCGGTAAAACCGACAAAACACTGTTCAGTGTAAAATGTGAATTTTCGATAAAAGGCTTTTTAGCCTTAACAATCTAAATGAAAGTTGTAGAATATGTTAAACCGAGAACTTTCATAAAAAGAACGTAAAAATCTGACTTCGTATAAGGAAGTTATGATTTTTCTAAGTTTCGGTTTAGCAGTAGACAACTAAAAATTCGAAATATAAATTGATCGATATTTAGCCGACACAACTTAAACGAGAATCGAAGGTCTCGTCAAAAGTAGTACAACGGTAAAAAGACAGACGAAAACGGACGTCGGATGAAGAGGTTATGAATTTTTAACGGATTTCCTGTCCCGGTCTGTTAAAAATAATAATATTAAAAATAAAGTCAAAATTAGCCAACGAAGTTTAAATGAAAGTCGTAGAGTATAAATTTACCTACCCGTACATATAAAGAACGTCGAAAACGGAGCTCGTATGCGAAACTTATGATTTTCGCAAGTTTTTGGCACAAAAATCGAGAAATATTGAAAACCGGGAAATTTCGCATGGTGTACCTTGGGCCACGTCACCTCGCATGCGAGGCTTCCACCTGTCACCTTCTGATTGGACCGAAGTTCTCCGTGTCGCATTCTGATTGGACCGCAGCCGAGGTCCAGTAGCCGGCTGACACTCCTCGCATGAACAGTAGCCGCCTCACCCGGATCCGACGTGTGCCTCGCACCTAGCTGCATCCGAACTTCGGCCTCGTGGCCTTCGCAGCTGATGACGCGTGGCTGTTGGCTCACCCTTCGGCCCGCACCCTCGCACCCTATATAAGGGCTGCGAGATTTCTCGGATTTAAGCCATTTTTACACCATTTTTGCTCCTTTTTCACCCCTTTCACTTCCATAAACTTTCTTACAACCCCCCAAAGCCCCGGTATCGTATCTAAAACCCGAAGCAAGCCCCGAAGCCCCAGAATTCTCGAGAAGCTAGCCTCTTTCCAGTCGAAGTGCTGCCCGCATAAAGCCCGATTTTTAATCAAAAACTCACGGTTTCTTCGAGAAAGATCATCTATAGAAACGAAACGCTGCCCAAATCATCACTTATCAAGTGAGTTCATACCCCTATAATCTACCTTTTTAATGGTTTTTAAATGCTTTTAAGGGGGGGAATACAAGTTTAACACAATATAAATTGTGTTAATAATTGTATGTGATAATAATCACACAAAGGGTTTCCTTATGTTTTTAAGGATTACCAAATACTTCCAAAATGACTTAAAGTCATGTTAAATCTTTAAAGTCATGTAAACTCCGTTAAATTCTTTGCAAAAGGTTTTATAAACTATTTCAAATTATAATTTCCAAAATCATGTTTATATATGTATAAATATATAAATAAGATTTGAAGGGCTTAGGACTACTGAATTATCTTATTTCCTTTTTCTTGTTTGGATGTGGAATTAAGGTGGTGTTATTTGTCCGAAGGTTGTTTCCTTCTTAATTATATATATATATATATATATATATATATATATATATATATATATATATATATATATATTATACATATATGAATATAAAAGGTTACTTCATTCGGTATCATTACCTTTGTATCATGCTGAGCAAAGGTGTTCATCCATGAGAAATCATGCTAATCAGATAGAACATATAAATTATAATAGGTATATTTTATGATTCAAAACTAAATATACAAGTATGATTCACATTCCAAGGAAAGTACCAACAATTCATTTACCTATATCAGGATATGTATAATACTTTTAGTATATGGATAATATATTAAAGAAGTAATAATACATCATACCGGGTTTGCATTAACAATGGTACAATAAAGAGTACCACGGTTAGCAATCACGAGGTAATAATACATCATACCGGGTTTGCATTAACAAGGGTACAATATAGAGTACCAGGGTTAGCAATCCCGGGGTAATAATACATCGTAAATCTCGTTGAAACAATAAACTTGTGAGACTCTTCATGGTGTACTTATCTAAGTACGACCTTAAGTCCGACTTATTAACCAGAATCTCCTGTAGGGAGGGCGTGAATTTGTGTATAGATCTATATGAGACTGACAATCCCGCACCTTCACTGTTCGCTACAGTTTGGCCGGCAGGCCTAGGGTGTCAAATATCATATCGTTTCCGACGCCTGAAGAACGTCGCATCAGGCACATCAGTCATATTAGTATGGTTAATAGAACTCACATGGATAAAACAACGAGTAAATTACTAAGTAATATACTTCTCTTAAAACAGTAAGAAAAGATAATTACATCCTGACCAAATATACCTTCTGTTAGTTTTTACTTACAGTAAAAACTACGTATCATGAAATCAAGTATGGCAAATATACTTGTACTTCTGGTTTTGGAACATTTAAAACCACAAAGCAGTATTATGGATAATATAATATTTTCCAGGATTAATACTAATGTTTTACCGTAGAACGGATATAACTAAGAATACTTTTACAAATGAAACGGTTTATGGGATTAAACTACTTTTACAAATGAAACGGTTTATGGGTTTAAACTACTTTTACAAATGAAACGGTTTATGGGATTATACTACTTTTACAAAGGAAACAGTTTATGGGATTAAACTACTCTTACAAATGAAACGGTTTATGGGATTAAACCACTTCTACAAATGAAACGGTTTATGGAATTAAACTACTTTAACAATTGTAACTTAGTCATTTACTCTCTGTAAACTAGTATAACATAAAGGACCTTTAGTGGTTAATTCTATAATTCCTTAGTTTTTACATCAGGGTTATACTTAAGTAATATCCGATTGACAGTGAAATGTGTGACTTCCGCCTTACTTCCTGTTCCTTGTTTGGTTGTGGGCTTAGGGCAGATACACCCATTTAACTATCAATTCGATATTGGGTTATATATAATCAGTATAAACTAAGTAATTGTAGAGGGAACTATTGAGGTTATCCGTTTATCACCTCAGGAAATATAGGATTTTCTGGAGGAACCAGCGAACTTTTCCAAAGAACTTAGAGTATACTTAATAGAAGTAAAATACTTATGAACTCACCAGCTTAAATGCTGATCCACTCTTTCAAAATAACTTGTATTCTCAGGAATCCAGTAGACAGGTACACTCATGAAGCTTTTGAGAAGACTACCTAGTACCGTACCACGCCTCTTGTCTTCTACTGTACCTAGTTTGGTGTTTGAATATGTAATGTTTAAACACTTATATAAAACTTATACTTATTAATGCAATGGTTGTTTGTACTTTGATTACTATATTGCATGTGTTGTGATACTTACCTGAAGTCCTCCGCCCCCGAACGTTTCCGCCATTCTGGATTGGGGGTGTGACAGATTGGTATCAGAGCAGTGTTTATAGTGAACTCAGTATATCAGTCATAAAAGATATACAACTATAAACCCATTGGGATAAAAACACTCTGACGAAGAGTTATACTTTAAAAATATAACAATATTTTATAAAAGTATAAGTACATGCAGATTATATATACTAGAATGAGTATCACAAGAAGAACAAAACAAAAGTATTTGGATGTTGGACATTACAGTTAAACCTAGACAGTGACGTAATCATATTTGGGATCAATATAGCCTGATCAACTATATTCATTTGAGATATGACCAACATGTGTTTGGGAGTGATTGTAGTGTTGCAACAAGTCTAAAACTTACCTAGGTACCATAAGAACTCTAGAACCAAACATAAAGGTTAAAATACTATAGGAGTATTTTAGGATGCTATAACTAGAAAACTGAAAACTTATCAACTTCTTATATCTAGAAGTCCAAGAATCAAACTTATAATTAAAATACCATGGAGGTATTTTGGATACCATAAATCACTTTGGGGAAATGTTAAAAAGATCTTTTCTGATAAGTCTATAATTACTAAATGGATATGGTAAGGTTATATATAGTTGAGATTTTATAGGCTTAGAATATGTGATTTTCACTCTACTTCCTTTTCCTTGTTTGGATGTGGTTTTAGAGTAGGATTACTTATTCGAAGGTCTATTTGATCTGGATTATATATAATCGGTACACACCATATGATTATAGAAGGACCAGAAAGGATCACCTTCGTAAAAAATTTAAATTTTCTCATAGATTCTTTAGACATTCCCATTCTCGTATAAACCCCTTAGATAGATGTAATCACTCCAGCAATCAACAGAAGAGTCAAGGAGGATCCAACAGAATTTCATTAGGAGAATTCCGAGAAAGAAGATAAAATGGGCCAAATCGCCTGCTAGAGAAGAAGCTCTTAGGGAATCGATCTAGACTAGATGAGGTCCGTTCGAGCAATTACCAACACTGTTGTGGAAAGGAAGTAGTATCGGAGCTTGGTTGCTGCAAAGTAGAGTGATAAGCACATCTTCTCGATCGACGAATAATTCTTCTTAGGGAAAGACCCTGCTGAGATAATACACGGCCACAGATGATAAGTAAATAAACTATAGAAATCATTTAGTGCCCTTACCCTATTAAGGACACCAATGAGAGATTCACATGAACTTTCGAGATTCAAAATCTTTATTACGAAGTAATGGGGATCAGTGTCAGAATCGGAAGTAAGACAACTCAAGAATTCAATATACTTACGGAGGAGAAGGACACCCTATAGATACCAGGAGAGAACAAATCATTACCACCCAGAATAGAACAGAGAACAAAGGAAAACCACGCGTGATTCATGTGAAGTGTTTGAGAGCCTTTTCATTTAAGTAATAACTAATAAATGATACAACCTAGTGAGTTAGTATTTATACCACTCACATTAGGTTTTGA